TTACATGATACAAATTTGGATTAACTAAAACAAAATACTTCATGCAGGGTGCATATGATGGCAGGAGAACAATGTGGCAGAAGGGAAGAGGAAAGGGGGAGAAAAGCAACACACAGGACAGGACTGAACCTGAAGATACATGACACATGGGAAAAAGGATGCCATGTTGGAAGCTGATCCCAGGCTCTCACTGATAAATATGGCTAGTGAGCTATTGTAAATTACAATGGCAAAGCTTATTGAGTAACATGTGTGGCATAGAGTTCAAGCCCAATCATCCTATTGATAGTCATTATTAAAATTAGGCAATGACCATTTAATTCTATACTGCATCAATGGGAGAAAAGCATTAAAGTTGATGATAAGGAAATAGCAATACTTAAATAGAAAGTAGCCAAACATAACCAGTCCCATGTGGTTAATCACTATATGTTATAAGTAATATACACAGTATTAATTGACCATTTAATTATATTGTTATGATAAATCTTTCTACCAAAAGCCGCCGAGCCCCACCGCCATGTGTGTGCTTTATGCCAGCCGCCTGCCTGAGTTAGGGCCCAAATGAATACACAGAAACTTGTATTAGGTTCAAAGCTGCTTGGCCAATGACTAGGATTCCTCATCTGTTAGCTCAGTCTTAATTATCATAAATCTATATATTTTATCAGACTTATCTTATCCGACGCCTTATTGGCATCCCACCTTATTGGTGGATCACATTGTGCTGCTGGAGCAGGAGCAGAGGGGAAAAAAGGGGGCCACTTTCTGTTTCTCCTTCTTTAAATATGAGTCTCCTTGCTATGTCACTTCCAGCCTAGATCACCACTTCTCTACTACATTTTCCAGAATCCTCTTTGACTCCTAGTCCAGTCTAACTAACTGTCTCATTGGCCAAACAGTATTTTATTTAACAATCAATAAGATAAACATACACAGTACATTCCCCATCATTATATGACTAATATATAAGTATACAATTAAATATGCTATTGTATGGTATATAATTGAATATAATTAAATATAATTAATTAGTTGACTATAAAATGATAACTGGTATTTTTAATTATACTGCTGTTTGAGCTAAAATCAGTGTGAAGAGTATGAGCCTCTTAGAGAGAAAAAAATAACACCTTTCCCCCGGGTGTTTGGTTTTCTTTGCCTTAAAAAGAATACAAAAGCATACACTTGGTAGAGGAATGAGAAATTACAAATATAGATCAGTGCTGGAGAAAGCCTGAGTATGTGTTAACTCCTTTTGAAAATCAAACAAGAAAATTATTTGAGACATAATGTATATGTTTTATCATATATATTCTTTTGGAAGAAGTCTGCAAGAGGAGCATCGGATATGTGGATGTCACTTTGTAGAACTCTTTGTAGTGTTTTATTTTTGTACAATGTTACCAGCCTTCATACTTCATAGCAAGTATCTTTACCCTCTGAGTCATACTTCCCTGTCCAAAGGTGTGTGTGTGTATATATATATGAAAGCAAGTGTACAAAGAAGTTAATCACTACATAATAAATCATAATAAACAATAGACATACCATCACTGAGGTATTGCAAGAATAAGTTATTGCATGTCTACTTTAAAGCATATTACTGTACACTCATACAAAGAAATGATTAGGAATGTGTTAACGAAAAGGAAAGGATTCACAAAATATGTATGGAAAACATACAAAATATGAAGTTAATTTTATAGTATTTGTGACATTTTTATAAAATATGAGAAGAACCCTTTGTGCGTGTTTTGTATTGTCATAAGAGCATGAAGGAAAATATACCAGGATACATTATGGTAATTTGTATAGTCAAAGCACAACATATTGTGGGAATTACCAATATGGAGTTAGGTAATGATATAAGGGTATTTATTAGGGAGAAGCCTTACTTACAGAGCAACCTAGCCAGCCAGCAGGGCAGGAGTAAGTACAGCAAGCCGAGGATGAAAAGGAAGAAGGGAAATTCCCTTCACTCTTAAACCTTACCTATGTCACCCTGTAGGTCAGGCACACCTGTAGCCAGACCTTACCAGGCATGGTTACAGAGTCCCCTACAATGATGTAGTTACAAGAAGGCAAAAGGAAAGGAAAATCAAGAAACCAAAGAATCTCAACAATATGGTTGCCTGAACAAGACCCAAAAGACTGACCAACTAACATGCCAAAGTGGATGGAGAAAACTTTGCAAGTTCCCAGCACTAGATGAAGAGCTACAGACAATTAATGGCTACTGAGAGAGAGAGAGAGAGAGAGAGAGAGAGAGAGAGAGAGAGAGAGAGAGTCTTCTCCAGGGACATCCCTGATAAATTATCTAATCTGAAAGAGTCAACTCTAAGCAAATGTATATGTGAGCAACATTACATGTTTTGAGAAGATTTAATTTATAAATTTATTTTCATAAAATTTATTAGTTTAGTACTTACATTAAATATAAATATATATTTCAACTATGTATATAATAAATGAAGAAAAGGATGAATAAAGGATTGGAGGAGTTGTGGAAGGGGTTGGAAGAAGTAGGGTAAATAGGAAAATGCTAAAAATACATTATAAAATAAATGAATAAAAATGTTTACAATTACCCCAAAATAATACTAAAAGAAAAGGCACTGTAAAGACTGGGACAAAAATTATAATATATGTTATGATCTCAATGTATCAACAATATAAAAGCAGAATTTCTTTATTTGCAAGGATACATTTTAGGTTCTACAGTTTATCTGATTCACTGATTGATTCATCTATTCACTAAATATTGTACCAGATTTCCTTCCTCTAGATTTAATACTTATAGTAATTAAAGACTAGCCACCAGTAAAACTAAAGTATTTATTTTACTAAATCACAGTAAAGAGAGTTCAAAAGTGTCTAGACACAGATCCTCCCACCCTCAAAGTCAGAAGAACCAACTCTGAAGTCATTTTCCCAATTGACTAGACTTTCAAATCAACTTTCCAAATAGTGTCATTGTCTGGCCTGCTCCAGATGCTCTCAAGTTCAGGTGGGCACTTAACTTAATTTTCCCTAAAATAAGTGGTCAAAAAACTCAATCAAAGCTATGCATAATCTCTGATGAACAGAAATCAGCTAAGTTTCATAACTTGGTACTAAAGCTAGTTCCATTTCTCCAGCATTGAATTATTACTCATTCTAATGTTCCACTAGACAAAAGGCTGTCCAAAAAATAATTTCCATTCACTCATGGTCATCTTTGTCTAAATAAATCATCCATGTTTAATTTTGAGTGGTAAATAATTTTTCCCAAGTAGCATCTGAATACTTTACTGAATTTTGGAGAGGGTAAATTCACCTACAAAGGATGACACTAACTGCCATTCCTCATACTATAAAGGTTTCTCATAAATTTTGTTTTCAAAAGTGGATTCCATTCCACCCAAAAATTCATATTTAAACTAATGATTCATGCACATATTATGAAGCTGAGTGCCATACTTACTTGACTCTTTCAACCTATAGTAAAGATAAATGGTGACATTTATCAAAAAATAATTGCATGAGGTCTTGTCACTAAGCAATGGAAAAATCATGCTTTGGCAAAAGCAATATGAATTTAAAGTAAAAAAAAATACTGCTTATGTTAGTTAATGGAATCTTCTGGTATAAGCTTGGCTGAATGTTTCTTTCCTTTGTAAGATTTTAGCATAATAGTGAAACTCCCACCTCTGCCACCCTAGAGTAAATGTTGCTAAAACAAATAAGGGAACCCTCAAATACTTCATATAGATAGGAAATATGTTGCTGAGAAATTTATCAGATTTTTCCCCAAAACAAATATTCTAAAATAGGTAAAGCCCTTCATGATGAATGACTGTCAGAGAGTTCAGCTCACTTTGTAAAGCTCTATCACTGGGCAAGCAGGTGGTCCTGGGTTCCATGAGAAAACAGGCTGAGAAAGCCATGAGGAGCAAGCAAATGAGCAGTAGATTTCCATGCCTTCAGTTTCTGCCTACTTCCAGGTTTCTGCCTTGCCTTTCAATTAGGGTCTTGATGTTTTATCACAGCAAAAGGGGCTCTAACTAAGACAGGAGGCATCTTTCTATAGAACTCCAGATGTCATAACTTCACACCTACAGTTGAACTTTTCTCCAGTCCCCAAGCCCTTAAAACTGCTCATATTTCTACAGAATAACAATTTATTTTCAAGGTACCATATTCAGCGTGGCTTCAATTAATCATTCTTTTTTTTTTCTTTTGTAGGAGTTTCACATATATCCATGTCTGTACTAGAACTTGCTCTGTAGACTAGTATGGAGTGGAGCTTACAGAGATCCAACTTTCTTTGCTTCCTTTATTATAATTAAAGATATGTTCCACCACAAATGGCATCTATCTCGGTTTTCTAAACAAATAGCAAGGGTTAATCAATTAATATTGGTTTCTGTCTGCATTTACCCAGCTTTCCTTCAAAGTTGATATGTCTGTAGAGCAGCACTGTCCAATAACATGGAAACACATGAACTCTGAATACTTCAAATATGGAAAATAGACCGATGATCTAAATTCTTTATTTGTTTTATTTGTATTGTTTTATATGTAAATGTAAATACAAAATATTTTATTTAGTTCATATCAAGTCCTTATCAAGTATTTATATGTAGTATGTTCAGTAAAGTATTAATAAGAACCAAATGTACTTCTTGTTTTAAGTTTTAATTATGTGACTATGAGAATTTTTTCATTTTTTGTTTTCATGTGTACACATAGGTACACATATGTAAGCAGATGTGCTAATGCATGTAGATGCTGATTATAGAGTCATCTTCTACTGCTTTTCTGTCTTATCTGTTGAGGCAGGAGTGATGGGGAAAGTACTACTGTGTATGTTTATCTTATTGATTGTTGAATAAAGTACTGTTTGGCCAATGGCAGCAAGTTAGACTGGACTAGGAGTCAAAGAGGATTCTGGGAAATGTAGTAGATAAGTGGTGATCCAGGCAGGAAGTGACATAACAAGGAGACTCATATCTAAACAAGGAAACAGGAAGTGGCCCCTTTTCCCATTCACCTCCTCCAGCAGCAGGATGCGATCCACCAACAAAGAGGGATGCCAGTAAGTTGTCCGATAAGATAAGTCTTATAACATATATAGATTTATAATAATTAAGGCTATGCTAGCAGATGAGAAGTCCTAGTCATTGGCCAAGCAGCTTTGAACCTAATACAAGTTTCTGTGTATTCATTTGGGCCCTAACTCGGGCGGGTAGTTGGCTTAAAGCTCACAAGTGGTGGTGGGGCTCAGGCAGCTTTTGGCAGAAAGATTTATCGTAACACAGGGGAGCTAAATCTAACCCAGAGCCTGCTGAGATAGCTAGTCTCACTACCAGCCAGCTTGCTCTCATGGTCCCCTGTATCCATTTTCTAAGGCTAGAATTACAAGTAGACAACCACACACAACCAACATTTACATGGGTTCTGGGGATCCAAACTCCAATTCATATCCTAATGTAGCAAGCATTTTAACCACTCCAGCCCTTACAAAAAATATTTAATTAACTGGAATATTTCTATAAGAAGATTTAGGTTCAACCAAAGCAAGAGAAAACAGAATGGGGGCTGACTCATTTTAAATATTTAAAATGACAGACAACTGATTTTATAACTGAGATTACATAAACTTCATAACATTTTTAATAAACATGTAATGATTTCTTCCGATTTTTCTAAGGAAAAACTGAAGAGAACAAGGCAAGAAAGCGTATTCCACAGGGTAGAAAAGCAAATAAGTATACAGCAAGCATACAAGTTCAAGTGTACAGCAATGGATCCATAGCATTTCCACTTGGCCTAGTTTAATAAAACTCTAAGAACTGTGTAAAGAATAAAGGATGGTGCAGGCTGTAAGGGAGATGTCATTGCTAACTGTATCTCATAAAGTTTTTGGCTCTGCCATATGCCTTGGCTGGTCAATCTGCAGCAGCTGCTTTGGCATCTGTGCTCATGATACATGCCACAACAACCTATTCTTTTGATACTCTAAAGCAGCAAGGTCTGTCACTGCTGTACCATTTCAGAGCTGTCTACCACCTGGGATGGGAAGTTACTCAGTAGTATATCACAGATGAGTTTCCCCAGGTCTGGCTGAGACAGACCAGACTGACTTCTCTATGTGGTCAGACATTACTGCTTTCAGGGTTTATCAGTATTCTGTACCTTGCCTGAAATAGGCCCCAAGGGTTGGTGTGGTTCTTTGAAATAGGACTCACTATCTTTGTACCTATGAAGAAGAAAGCCACTTGAAAACACTTAAGACACAGACCAAAGAGGATGCTGTGTGTTTGTGACTTTGGCCAAGATATTAAAATTTTTATTTTCAACCTGAAAAATGAGATGAGTCTAACAAATAAGATTTTTTGTGGCATTTCACAGAACTATCTTTGGAGACTTCTCCTTATAGGGTTTTTATAGAAGAAATAAAACTCTCCTAAGATGCATTATTTTTCCATGTAATAATGTAAATTAAAATGTAAGGAGGCTAATGATAATTTTTAGCTAATTCTAATAAGATTACTATAAAATTACTATGATTGAACTGTGACATTTGCTGACCCATGTACTCACAAGTAACACAAGTAAATATATCTCTAAGAGTCAGCATTTGCATTTCACATAGCCATGTGTAAAGTGCTTTCAGCACAAATATCCATCACACAATGTGCATTGTTTTTATTTCATATTCAAAGACATAAAATAATCAACTTCAATCAATTTGCCCAAAATGCCACAACATGATCATATCACAAGTCTCATGGGGCATTCATTATAGGTGGGAGTTAATTAGAGCACATTTTCTCCTTCTGAATAATCTATAAGCATTGATAACTATTGCCATACAACCTCATATTTATTGCTTGTTTATCAGTTAATTATTTTGCTTTTAGAATCTCTGCTTTTCCTAATTAAAATTAATACCACAAAACCCTATTTTTTTCTTTTATTATCAGTGCACTGAATAAACATTTATGGTACCAGAAAATATTATACAAGCTTCCAAAGGAGTGTAGTAATTAAGTCCTACTCACCTGTTACATCTGTGAATCAGAACAATGACCAACATGAAAAATAGCCATAAAGGTAAAATAAATGGCACTAATGTGTTGGTTGTAACCAACAGCTTTCTAATTGGACTTAAGGTCCACACATCATGAGGGAAATTGCATCTAATACTAGTTACGACCAAACTTCCAGGAGCTAGTGAGGTCATGGACCTTAGGAAACCATCTAATTGCCACAATTCTAACAACATAATCCCCAACTGCATTGTAAATCTTACCCTTATGTCATATATAAGTATAGCTGACACTTCTCATCAAAAAAGCATCTTTTGACAGCAAATGGAGAACACTACAGAAATCTACAACTGTACACAATGCAGAAATCAACCAATCATGGGAAGCTCAGTCCCAGTGGATACATCTACATCAAAGTTCCTGTATCTATTGCTCAGGAAACATCATGGAAGAGGGGCACATAGACTGTAGAAACAGAATACCAGGAAGTTTACTGTGAAAGTCTCTCCTAGAAATGGCTGGAACAGTAGCAATATCATTAGACATGCTAACATAAAAGGGTGAGATTTCACAGGGTCTCACCCCTAGACAAAGAACTATAGGTAAAAAATGATTTCTGGGAGAGGGAGTATTAATCTCTCCAAGGGATGAACCTGTTATTTGTTCTCTGTCACCACTCTAGAGGTGGTAGGACCTGGGAGAATGGAGCTGAAAAATAAGGGGGTCTAAAGCAGTGATTCTCAATATGTGGGTCTCAATCCCTTTGGAGGTCAAATGACCGTTTCATAGAGGTCACCTAAGCCAATCAGTAAACACAGATGTTCACATTATTATTGACAAATAGCAATATTACAGTTATGAAGTAGAAATGAAGAAAATTTTATGGTTGGAGGTTACTACTACAGGAGGACTTGTATTAAAGGATCACAGCATAAGGAAGGTTGAGAACCACTGCTCTACAGTCTCATGAAATAACCACTTTTATTCAGAGCATCAGACAATTTATACTCTGAGAGTTAAGAGAAATCACCAGAGCTGGGCATTGGTGGCACATGCCTTTAATCCCAGCACTCAGGAGGCAGAGGCAGGCAGATCTTTGTGAGTTTGAGGTCATCCTGGTCTACATAGTGAGTTCCATGACAGACTCCAAAGCAATACAGAGAAACCCTGTCTAGAATAACCAAAAAAAAAAAAAAAAAGAAGAAAAAAAAAAAAAAGAAGGAAAATCACAAGAGTAAAGCTCTTAAAAGTTCAAGCTATATACAATCACAAGGACAAGCTGCACTTGGCAAAAACATGTTTTTTCATAGAGTCATGTAAAGGATACTTTAAATAGTTAATTAAATAACACCAATAACACCAGCAAGCAATAATGAGTAATCTAAATTAAACTCACTCCTATTTGCTATATGTAGAGGGAGCACATAAACACATTCCAGTAACAATTTCATGTTTTAAAGAAACTGAGGTCACAAGACTCTTGTCTTTTTTTTTTTTTTTTTCTTGAAGGGTTCTCACAAGTACTCAGAATTCTCACATTCTTCCATTCCATTTCTGGACCATGTTCTAACAGTTATCTAATATCAAATGGTCAGCCCTGAAACTATGTAAACACAAAAAGCAAAAAATGGGCTCAGCAGGTTGTATTTATATATTTATGCATGTATCTCCACACCTGTGTGTGTGTGTGTGTGTGTGTGTGTGTGTGTATGTATATGTGTGTGTGTGTGTGTGTGTGTGTGTGTAACAATATCATCTAAGAAAAAGACTCTATCAGTTTGAGAAGGTATGGAGTATACATGAGAAAGAAAGGAACGTGTCTTAGGCTGAAAAGAGAAAAGGGGGTGGGAATTTATATTTAGTTTAATTAAATTTAAGTTTATCTAAAACGTACTTTTTAAAATTCTTCACCATAAATATGAGAAGAATGAAAACATCATCACTAGATTTGGAGAATTTTAATCTATTCCCAGAGAAGGAAGAGAAACTTAAGCCCCTACTATGCAATGTTTAGTTGCTGAGTTTGTTTTTGAAGTTCAGTGGCTTTAAATGCAATCTTCTTACTAGTGACCCAAATGAAAGTACAAAGCACTGGACTTTACGCAGAATATTTTAGCAAATCAGGCAAGTGATTTCTTGTTATCTCTGATTGTGCCAGAATTACAAAAGAATTTGGAAACATCAGAGAAGCAAACAGAGCCCCAGGTCCTTCACACCCACTCACTCTGCAATATTGCCTTTACAGTTTCTGAATGAGGAATGCCACTTACCTATTCAGCCTTCCCCAAAGCACAAAATGTCCCTGAATCCATTATATCTCTTAACTCTGTAGCCAAACACATCAACAATTCCTACCAGGTTCACCTCCAAACTATAGCCCTTGAATCTAACCGCCATTCAGCTCTGCTTACAATATCCAACCCTGAATGATCCTCCTGCCAGGACTACTAAAAGAGTCTCCAAATCATTAGAGCTTTCAAATTTACCCATAAACCACTAACACTGAAGTCAAATTTGTACTTAATAGTTACATGTTAATTTCAATAATATAATTTGAATGTTATCAGTAAATACACTGACACTAATCAAGATGCCTAAGATTTGCATATCTTCTATAATCCCTTTGAGTCTATCCCCAGCCTTATTCAAACAAGGAAGAGAATTTTGAGCATGCCTGATGTGTCCCTTTTGACAATACTCAATTCAATTGACAGGTTTTTCTTTTTTGATTTTTTCCTGTACTAGAGAGCAAACCTAGGATCTCTTGTATTAGGCATGTGCTTTGTCCATGACCCAGGGGCTCAGACCCAATTTGCTATATTTTTATGTTTTTATTTGTTCTGTGAACAGTCATATACTTTATTTTGATCATATTTCCCCTTCCCCAATTCCTCCTAGGCCCTCCCCTATCTCCCTAACTTCCCTAACCGACATAACTTCATATTCTTTCTCTTAAAATAAAGCAACAACCACACACAAAAAAAAAATCAAAATAGACACACACACTCATACACACAGATAGAAGAGAAAGAGAGAGGAAGAGAGAGGAAAACAGAGTCTAATTTTCATTGCCCAAATACCCCTGAGCAAAGGGCCTGCCTCGGAATTTTAAAGATGATTGGGAGGAACCTCCAGCTCACTCCTGCTTGATCCAGAAAGCCCCATTCTTTTCTCTCCAAACCCCACCCTCTCAGAGAATATCTGAACAAAGAAAAGTCACCAAAAAAGCCCAAGTCTACATTTTTGGCAGCTTTAGCTCCTCCCCTGAAGTTGCCAACAGCCCAAGTCGCTCCTCAACCACTTGAGCTGTTGACCATACTTGGGCATAAACATCAGCTTGTGCCTCACACGTCATCACCCTTCTTGTACAGGCTGTATAAGCTCCCTGCTTTAGTTCAGGCATGTGGCTTCTCCGGCCTCCATTTCGGGCTAGAGAACTCACTGGGACTTGTTTTACTCCAATAAATGTGATCTTTTACTTTTTCAATCCATGTTGATCTGGTTTCCTGTGTAGATGGAGAAACAAATTAGGGGGTACATTAAACCTAATCTCTTTGTGCACATTTAAAGATGTCATCTATAATTTGTATTATCTTAAATGCCTTTCAAAGTGTTTTGCATCCAGGTTATTCTAGTTTCATGAAACATGATGGAAAGTGTTATGGTGGAAGCTTCACCCCAGGCCCTGGCATCCATATACCCAAAGTGTCTGGGATGTTACGGTTGAAGTTCCACACGAACTTCCTCCCCTATCTCTCTCCAAATCCTGCTGCATCTCAGAAAGCCCACAGGATGATGACCCCTCCCGTAGAGATGCTCAAGACCACTCCCTCAGGGTAATTAAACTGCCTCCCAGAAAATAGACTTGTGATTTTCCAATCCCTCTGTCCCCTCCTCTCTCCGTAGGCTAGAAGGCCATCCGGGAGCATTGTATCCATTAAACGTGGGGTTTTGCTAATTCAGTTTGATGTGGTCTGATTTGGATTGCTGCATTGGTGGAGAGGCTTATTGAGGTGTAGAAACAGAAAGTATTTTCTTTCCCTTTATAGTGCACACCAAAAATCCTAGCACTAGGGATGCAGAGGCAGGCAGGTCTCTGTGAGTTCGAGACCAGCCTGGTTTACAAGAGCTTGTTCCAGGACAGCCTCCAAAGCCACAGAAAAATGCCCGTATCAAAAAACCAAAAAAGAAATAATTTTTGTAAGATGGCATCAATTTTGTGATGGCTAATCTTGGCTGTTAACTTGACTGTATATGGAATCAACAAAAACCAAAGCTGTCCTGTAAGGGACACTTCATCAGATTACTTGAAGCAGGACAACCCTCCATAAATACAGAGTGTCACATTCTTCTGACAGCTCAGATAACAAGTCATGATATAAAGAAACATTGTTCTTTTGTTTAACTTGGTCTCACTCTTGCTGGCAAATTTATCTCTAACATACTGCAACATTCCTTCACTGATATTAAAAGCAAGTTCTTTGGAATCCAATGCAGAGTGAAAACCAGCTGGTGGAAAAGGATCTTCCAGGCCTCCAGCATCAGATTGGGACTACTAAAATAGTGCTCGTGTGTACTAAATGATTGCTGGATTTCCGGCCTCTTTAGTGTGAGACAGCTAATGTGGCTGTCTCAGACTTCATGCTCTAAGCCAATCTGAAAAAGCCCTGTGTGGTGGTGTGAATAAGAATGGCCCCCATCGGCTCATATAGTATAATGCTTCCTCATCAAGGAGTGGTACTCTTTGTGAGGGATTATATGGCCTTGTTGCAGTAGGTATGGCTTTGTTGGAGGAATTCTGTTGCAATGAGGTTTTTTTTTTTTTTGTTCATTCACTTGTTTTTATTTGATTGTTTTTGCATTAGGTCTATGGGTTAGAATTCTGTGTCTTCAGAGGTCTATAATTTGAATTTTATACTAGACATTAAAGGGGATACATTTATTAAATTTTATGTTTATTTGAAGAGTATCTATATCCATTATAGGCAGAAGTTAAATTGTTAGTTACTGATTGAATTTTGCTTTATGTTTTCCAAGATACATGTGTTCTATTTTTGCTCTAGTTAAAGAGATAACCTAGTAGATCTAAGCCTTCACTTGGAACTTTATGTAAGGACTTTACACGTGATAATGTGTTTTAAAGGAAGTTCAGAAGTCCTCTCCTTATTCTGCATTCATTCTCTTAACACAGTATCTTACAGAAGCCCTGTTTGTATGTCCAGTTTAACCATAAGACAAATATGAGGGGTGGTTGCAAATGAGGTCTCTCTTTCTGTGGTTGTTATCTGAAATTGCCTTTCCCCGAATTCCCAGATCTCCCTGAACCCCAAAGTTTCCACTGTGCTTTACACCCAAACAATAAAATTCTAACTTTCTGCTTGAGTTCTTGCCAACTTGCACTCCATGAACTCCAAAGAGCTCCCTTGGGGATGCCATTTCTATGTGTATGTACTTTCCTTTTCTAGCAATCAAATTCCAGCTTTTCTAGAAGCTTCTGATATGCTTTCCTACCTCTTTGTTTTTCAGTATCTTGTCTAGACCTAGGCTCCCTATCAAAGAGAATGCTCTGTCATTCCTGGGACCAGAATTTACCTCTAATGATTATCACTCAACATGGAACTTATCCCACAACTTCCCTTCTTAAAATTTTCCAATCATATGTTTATTCACTTGTAATAAAACCTCAGAAAAGAGTCTATATTAGAGCTTCTCAACATCTCACTTTCCCGACTCACTCACCTTCGTGTCTTTACTTGGAAAAACTTAGCTTTATGTGGCAATCTGTGACTATTTTAGTAAGCCACAATGCTCAGATATTAGCTCAAATACTACTAAGGATATTTCTATAGGTGTATTTTGGGATGCAATTAACCTTTAAATTCATGTCACAGCCATTAAATACAGAACATTTTGCTAAATATTGTGCTTGGACATCACACATTCCTTTGAAGACTTAAGGTAAGAGTGACTTCCTTCCACAAAGAAGAAATTATGCACAATAGATAGCACTTGGACTTGAACTGTGGTGTCTTTAATCTGTAGTCTCTAGAATGCCTTGTTTCAGACTTAAAGTTCAACATCAAATTTTCATTGGCTGACTAGCTAATGCCCTCTGAATTTGAACTGCATCTTCCCAGGATATCCTGCCTTGGAATTCTGAAGGTTTTAGACTTGCCAACGTCCATTATTATACAAAATGTTAATTTAAACACACTTTCTGTTATGTCTTTACCATTTAGCATATGCATGCAAATACTTGTTCAATAAATGACATGGGATATAAAATAATGGAAACAAAAATGGTTGGCAATATTCACTATAAAAGAAATACCAAAAAACCCAGTGAGTGATTTTATCCCTGAAACATATGCCCAGATATTAATAAAACATCATTTTTTTTAGAATTCTCTTCCAGAAACCCTGTCCTGCTTTTGCTCTTGGGTGTCTGTATAAAGCAACTGAAATTCTCAAATTAACTGACATTGATAGCTGCATCACATCATTTCCTTCTAAATGCTGGACCTGAAGTAAGTCAAAATTACAGTATTATTTTTGATAAAAATTACACTTGAATCACCATGACATCAGGGTTTGCATTGGATCTCTCAGAGCAGATATCTGTCTTTCCTACTTATTTTACCCCCAAAGTTTCTTAGAAAAAAACAGATGTGGAGATCTCATTGAAGTGTTCCCCACAGTGCCTTGCAGGGCTCCCACATAAATGGAACAAATGAGAGGTCAAAACTCAAAGACAAAAAGGTTTTTTATTTTTAAATATTTAAAAGTTATGAAATCTTTGAAATATCTTTTCTTGAGTTTCATAAGTAAATTGAAGAGCATTGGTCCATATCAACAAGATTAACTTTAGACTACAAGGAAATTCTGAATTATGCTGATGTAAAAATCACTTATCTCTGATGTTAAGCCAGTGATCCTAGCTCCCCTATTTGGGACAGTACAGATGGCATCTCTTCATTCTCATGATTACCTTCCTCAGCTAAATAAAGGCTACAAACTAATCTACTCTCTCTCCATCATTTGTCTTCATCAACTATAACTTCACTAAGAATGGTCAGTAGATCTTGACCACAATAGTGAATAGATTGTGGCTCAGTCAACAAGAGACACATCTCAGTTAGATATTCTCAATGTGACAGTGATAACCGATTCTTGGGGTATGTAATGGTTCATTCTGATTGTACTTGACAAGATGTAGAACCATATAGTCGACAAACTTCTGAACATGCTTCTAGGAAGCTTCTAGATTGTATAGAATAAGGTGGGAAGACCCACCCTAAATGTGAGTTCTCCCCATTCGGTGGGATGAAATCCTGGACTGAATAAGGAAAACAGGATGAGCAGCAACATTCATCTCTCTCTGCTTCCCGACTACAACAATAATGTGATCAGCTATCACAACGTCACCATATCCTTGATGATTGATTGTGCCTTCACACTGCAAGCCAAATTAAACTTTTTCTTCTTTAAGTTGCTTTTGTTGCTCCAGCTACTAGAAATGGTTAATATAATAGGTGATTCCCTCTGTGGTCTTTTCTCAAATCAGAGCTCTGACAAAGGTTTCACGTAGGTTCTGATGAGCTCCTGGCATACTGATGTCTAAGGAAGGATGCAGATTTTCTGCTGGGGACAAAAGTAAAGTCATCAAAGTTTTGAAATAGACTGTCTGCATATGTAGAGAAAACAACCTTCCCTTAAAGGTTTTCTAATGTATATTTATTTTACTAGTTTTAATAGGGATATGGGGACAAATCGATGTTTGCATTAGAGAGAAAGTGACTTTTAAGTGGAAAACATTTTTCAGAAACTTCTTCCAACAGCAGTACTGATGACATCACTGGAAGAAGAATTATTTAACCAAAGGGGATCATTCTCTGTCATTGGGATTTCTCTTCACTGAACAAGCAATTAGTCTGTCAAAGGTGAACTGAGTTCTTTAAAATGAATGCATAAAAGATGCTTCCAACTCTGCCCAGTGTTTCTGACAAATAGAAAGATTGGTTTTCATGCAGAAAGAAGTGAGGGGTAGCTGTCTGCATTCATGAGGAGAAATAATTAGCCTTTAGAGAACCTTAATCAATGAAGAAATCCAAAATTTTAACTTATATGTAAAAATATTTCTATTTGTTTTTTTCCCATCTCCGGTTGTTACATTTAAGTTTAAAATGTGCTTTCTGCTACCTCCTGCCTCAATATCTGGCTTTGTAACATCTTGGCTAATATTTATTTTGCTCAGACTCATCACAAACTAGTGACAACATGAATTTTAAAAAAAATCAAAATAAATGTTATACAAAGAAAAGCAAGATAGACTGCAATATAGGTTCTGGCCATTCTTGCCATTAATTTTGAGCTCAATTGCATTAAAATTATTACATTTGCAACTGAACTTATAAAAGAATGAACAAAGTGTAAAGTAGAGGAACAATTGTGTCTACTCAGTGAGAAACAAAGATTGTCTCCCTTAAAATTGAATTAACTCTCAATAGAGATAACCAGATTTCTTTCAGATTACCAGTTTATTGGGTAAACAGACAAAAGGTTTTGTTTTAAGATAAATGTTCTTAATATAAAGTCCATAACATGGTAAAGTTGATCTACTGCATTCATCTTCACTAAAACCATCTCAAATTGCCAATGGACTTTTAATAGCAAGAAAAATGAGGCCCTTGTAAGTGTATTACATCTGAACTATAACTTTAAAAAATTTAAACACTTTTTTTTAACTTTATATATCTATTGAAAATGGTACTGTAACAATGTATGTAGAAATAGCACATATTTATTTGCTTGCCTCACTACAAAATTTTAAAACTTATGAAGCAGTTGTATGACTTAGAACATACAATAATACCAAATTAAAAATCTATAGCTTGTTTTTCCTTTGAAAACTTTTAAGATAAAAATATTTTTACATATAAGTTTAAATTTTGGATTTCTTCATTTGAATGTTCCTGTCAAATGTGTTGAACACAAACCTTTGGACATAATTTAGTATCTATCCTTTCTGTGTGTTATATCACAGACTTACATTTCTAATACAAATATAAACACATATGCAAATATATATACACATATATCCATAAATGCATACTATATGCAATATATTTTGATCTTCTTTAAAACTTTTATATGAATGATAAGTTACTGCGGTTTTTCCTAAGAATTTTAGTTTTACTTAGATTTTGAGGCAGAAGTTAATCATGTAGCTAAAACTGTGCTTAAACCTAGGATCCTCCTGACTTGCATTCCAAGGACTGAGATTATAGGCTGTGCTGCCAAGCCTAACTCTTATTTTTTTCTCTTTTATATAATTTCAAAACTTCCAAATCCTTCATACTGAAATGTAGAGTTTGTGTGTGTGTGTGTGGGGGGGGTGTGCACATACATTTGTGTATGTGCATGTGTTACATAAAATTCCAGCTTGGAAGAAACTAAAATTTACCCACGCCTCTATTGATGAAGATTAGTCTGTCAAATTTCCTTTTCCTCCAGCAATTTCCCAATAACATCCTCAGCCAGAAGTTTGAAGCACACTCTTACTTTCTGTCTATGTTACTGGATAGTAAAGGATGAATAAATCTTGGGCCCTAAAGTCCTTCCAGGAGATCTACATAGCCAAATTCTTTCCATAATCATGCTGAGCCTTTGTCTTTTCATCTGCTGCTCTCCAGACTGTACAGTAGGAATATGGAAGATGTGTTAACATGTGGTAATAAGTGAAGGCTGGTGGAGGTGTGATTTTATACTCAAGTATTTCCTGAATGTTCCATTTTAATTTCTGATATGGCCATTCTGGATAGGTAAAGAATAAACTTTTAAAATGTATTTAGTTCATTTAGTAGTCTTTAAGAGTTCAGAGTGATCTTGAGAAAAATGTTGTAGAAACTATTGTGAGAAGAACATATTTAGCAATAACTAGATATAAAGTTTGTATAATATTGACAAAATATTCCCTAGAGAAAATGTTTGTGCTGTTTCACATTTCCAAAGAAATTATTCTCATTGACTTCATGCCTTATTTGGCTTTATAAGACTGATTAACTTTGTAGAAATAATCTAAGAAAATAACCAACAGATTACCTCTCTCCCATTTTTCTGTTTATTATTCATTAAGGAATAATAGAAAGTAATAAAATAGCTACACATTCATGACCATATTTTCCATATTTATTTTATTTTCCAAAGAAATTTTAAAGTGCTTAAAGGCAATGAAGGTACCATTTGAAAAAGATCTGCTATTTTCCAAAGCCATTTTCCATATTTAAGAATTGAAAACAAAAATTCCATAATAGCTGAAATATTCCCAAATTTCTTTGAGTAGAACAATTTGAATTTCGTTGAATGTCTCCTTTTATCTAAAAATGTTATAGATAAATGTGTGAATTTTAATTCACATGCTGCTTCTTCAAAGAATTTCTCTGAAATGACTTCCAAATGTGAGCAGAGATTGTATTATGATTTGAACATAAAATGTTCCCCATGGAAAAATGCGTTTGAAATGTTGGATCCAAATGGCAGCATTGTTTAGTGAGGTGGTGATCATTTTACCTAGCTAAGGAAGGTCACAGCTAGTGAACTGTGAGAGGTATAAGCCTGCTCTCTTTCTACTCCCAGAGGTATGCCTCATGACTGCCACCAAGATATGGCCAGCTACAGTTCCAGAACTCCAGGAACAGAAGCCATTCTGTTACCATGCCTGCCATACTGCAATAAGTACAAAGCCATGAAGCAATGTAATTCCTTCCTCCATTAAGTCAGGTATGTGATGGCAATGATGAGAAAAGCAACATAGAATGTAGCCATCAATAGGAAGATGAAAATCCGAAACATCAAGATCAAGGCTACAATGGATAATAGCTTTTCTTTAAGGAAATTTGCAAGCTGCAAAGTGCGCATTTTGAAAAAATCTGGTGAGATTGTTCTATGTTTTAAATTAAAGCATAAGAAAAAGTGATGACTGAAATTATTAAATCTACTCTCAAATATGAATAGCATAAATTAATTAAAATATATCTACTTCTTTTGCCAGTCAGGGTTATGGGAAATGGTGGGCAGGTTACAAACACAGTGCATAGAACATAGCCCAGCCTATTATTTTCAAGCCTCATGAAATGTGATTTTTCCAAATAAGTAGAAAATATTTTTTATTTGTTATCTTTGCCTACTGTATAATACGTATCCCTCTTATTTTGCTACTAAACCAGTTTTAAACAATTTCTCAATATTGTTCACAAAACGCACCAAATATGTTCTGAAAGACTTCCAGAGGCTCAGGCCCCAAGGACCTTGGTCCAGAACCACAATGACCCCAATCACGGTCGGAGTCGAAAGCTTGATGCAAACAGCAGGAGGCTTTATTGCAGTTGTTTAACGAGCTAATCCCATGTTAGCTCTGGCCTTTCATTCATCCACCATGGTGGATGGCTAGGAAAGACACTGCAAAGCCATGGCATAGAGATCTTATAGGGCAGTGTAAGGAGAGTGTCTAGGGGTTCACACAGGCTCAGGATTGGTGTGCTCCAGGCTTGGAGGACTTTCCCTGTGTTGATTGGTTAACTGGTTGTTATGGCCCATAGGCCCTCCCAGGGCTATTGCTATGCTCTACATGTCATTGCTGTGCACTTGTCCCTTAAGCACACCCAGAGCTGTAAAGCATGGCACCACCAGCTAACTTCTGATTGGTTCCTTGCTTCGAGGCAGGCATCTGACCTCCTAGTGACCAAGGCAAGTTCAGGCAAACACCTGCTAGGCTGTTATGGCTGCTGAAATGGGGAGCTGGTCCCTTCAGTTCTAATATATTACTGCCCAACTTTACCTTTCATTTATTAACTTATCCCTACTTTTCAGTACATTCACCATTTCAAAAGTATTTTTGTTTTCTGTATTGGGTGTCACACTAACATTTCAAGAAGCACTTAGATACTGTTAGAATTAAATCACACCAAACTCCTGTGTTTCATTTTTGTCAAGATAATTAGTTTATACAGCAAAAAAAAAAATAAATTCACAAAGGTATACTTCAAAAGGAAACGTCCCCCACTTAACTACAAAATAAAATATCTGACCACATTCATATAAACAATAGAAGTAGTTCCTCACCTCCAATCCATCACACTGGCTTCCTTCTCAGAGAAAATATACATCACAATAATTTAATGGAAGGACAGATCCATTTCCTGTATAAAAGAGAGAGGAGGCATTTAACACAGCAGGGTAATGTATAGTGAAAGACCCCCCCGAAGAGGTACTTTCGTAGAGGGAGACCCACACCCAGGAATCAGCGAGGCCACGAACTTGGATGCAAAAACAAGAGGCTTTATTGGAGACTCGGGTACCCTGTGTGCCTTAGCTCCTGTGTGGCTAAGCGCCCCGAGCCAAGGGAAAGGGGTCCTTATATAGGGAAAAAGGCGCAAGCTAGGAGCAGGGATTCTATTGGATAATTCTAATGAGGCATT